TAGTATGAAAAAGTTTAAAGTCCAAATTCCAATTGTGAAAAATGATATGGCTAAAACTGCTAAATTGCAAGTTGGTCTCTGGTACACCCAGTTTTTGCCACTATAGAATGCAGCGTGCTTTAATCCAAGAGAATTTCCCCCGGAGCTATAATCGGTATTTGAGCCATTGAAATGGAAAGAGAATTCCTATTCTTTAAAAATGTTCTAGGCGTAGCCAGGCATTATGTGGGCGAAACAACTGCCTTACAAGATTTTACAGAAATATATTAATTCAGACACTATTCAACTAAATGTTTACCTGATTTAAATTAAATTTACCCTGTCTGAGTATTCATCCTAACTAGGCCTCAGCAAGTTATCGTTAACAATTTATTTGAAGAGATGTAGGCACTCGTGCAAAAAATCAAACAATCATGCATACGAAAGAGATCAAACCACTTCCGTATGGTTACGGTGGACGAGAAATAATGGCAAAAAATCAAGTAAGAATGGTACCACCATTTTTAAGTCGTATTTGTAAAAAAATGGATGTGTATAGTTAAAATTAAAACAAGAATGGGGTCATATAATCAATTTCATGGACGCGAGAAGTCAGTTAAGAATAAAAATAAATCGTATAAAGTATATTTTCCACAGGAAAATGAAGTGGGGGATTCCCAGCTGACCAAGTTCAGCTGATCCGGTGTACGTATTTAACTAGGAGTAGCCTGTCGAGTTATTATTGACTTAGTAGTCGGCTTTTGTATTTAAATATTTACATGTATTCTCTCTGAAAACCGTTTCAGACCGATTTGATGTTATTGTGGCTGTGAAATGGGAATTCTTTAGCCCATAAATACGAGTCTTTTGATGAACTTCCTGGCACACTATAGTCGCTGGCGTATAATTACCGAGCTAGTACAAATATGCACAAGTTTTTATTTCTTAAAAACGTTTAGAATTTTGAAAAATATTTTAAAAAGTGGAATAGTGTGATAATTTTACGGTCACAATCCTGACATAAGATTATAAATCATTATCAAAGCAACTTATTTAGAATATTGAATGAAATTCCGATGCTTTGTACAAATACTCTGTAAACCTTTTATGCTACTGTACCACACCCAATATAAATCCTGAACTTTCATGAATGGATTAACGATGTTTCATTTCAAAAGGCTAAAGACCACGCCAGTAATTTACGATGGTTGTATCATCAGGAAGCTTCGTAATGCAAGTAAAATATCGAAATGGTTAAAACAATCAGAATGGATATTACAGCATACAAAAACGAAACATTGGATTATTTACATTTGATAATCTTAAATATATCAAAAAGAAGCGAGATTAACAATCATTAATATGCCGCCTATTCTTTGCCAAACACTGAAGATGATTTGGCATGGTATATTTCTGGCAACACTTATGACAGCGCTAGTCGGTAAGTTTTATAGACATGTGAATTGGAAGCATCACAATCCGAAATCAGAGGGTAACATTTGAAATCATAATTAACTAATTAGCCTTTTGCTATAATTTATAGACTCGCCACTATTCATCTGATAATAACTGAATAAGTATTTGGATTAGCTGGGCTAGGTCAACAATTAATTGATTGTATCATTTTTAGAATCAAAATCATTTTACCAGCAAATTGTCAAATATTTGAAAGCTCATTTTATTTGCAAAATGGCATATTAAAGGAAGTTATAGGGTTAAAGTGACATATAATAGGACTTTACATATTATATAACGGATCGGTACGTCTGGAGATTTCAAAATTGAGAACTATTTATCAGTATGTTCATTGCCAGATTCAAATGTTTATGTTTAATGAGTCGTTTTTGCTGATTCTATGACAAAATTTATTTCACCTGGGTGTTGAAAATTAATATTATGTTAATTTTGAGATTGGAAATCACCAAGATTTATTTTGTATGAACTAAACTGGAAGCGTACTACATGACATTAATCTGCATGTCGTCCATTGATACAAATTAATAATAGTATAGTTTTGAATGAGTGATTAAATAATTGCTTTTGAAACATAATTCATATCAGTTACATATCTGTTGTGAGTAGTAAGACATCAACTACCCTTTGGATTCGTTCGCTTCCTGGTCATCTCAACCCCAAGTCATCTCAACCCAGTCCAACTCAACCCCAAGTCAACTCAACCCCAAGTCAAGTCGACCCCTGTAAAACTCAACCCCAAGTCAACTCAACCCTGTAAAACTCAACCCCAGTAAAACTCAACCCCTATATTTCTATATATTGATGAACTTATAAGAAAGTTTATTTCATTAAAATAATTCTGCCGATCGTGGCATAAGCGAGCCAAAAAAATATATGTTTTGACAAAAAATGATGCAACTTCTTTCAAAATTGGGGGGAGGGTGTGTGCGCACCCCTCCTGGCTACGCCTATATGCTTTCGGTCTATTAATTAGTAAATGTCAATGTTTTTGTTAAAGCATATTCATATAAATAAAAAGTTATATTACATTGTTGATTATTTCTAAATTATCTAAAATTTGATTTCAAAAGATGTCTTAAATTAATTAATAGTTAATTAATCGTTTTCTTTTGGAATACTTTTACAGCTTTCTATTCAAAGGATCATGCAAAATGCTAGATTTTCAGAAATCAATGACTTAAATTATTCATCATAAAAAATTAAATTAGACATTGCACAAATGAATAGGGTTGAGTTTTACTGGGGTTGAGTTTTACAGGGTTGAGTTGACTTGGGGTTGAGTTCGACTTCACTTTTAAAAGTGAAAGTTAAAAACGTCGTCGTTTAAAAATAGCCTCTGTGCGCAGGGTAGATATCAACCATTGCATTTTTTAAACGATGCCACATTAATAAATGTCTAAGAGGGCACTGAATGAAATGGATAATGTTGATTCATATTTTACACTCCCCTCCATTTTGGCAACCTTAGCTCCCCCATTAATCTACGTGTTAAAGCCTCTTTACCTTTGAATTTTTATTAACTTAACCTGCGATGAAAATACTATAAATACTATTAATGGGAACGTAATTTGAAATGGATCATGTTGTTTCATATTTTACACACCCCTCCATAATGATGCTAAATTTGATTTTTTGAAAATCGTCATTCCCATGTAAACCAATGGGAAATGGTGGTTACGGGGCAAATCAGAAATCAGGATATATATGCAGTAAACGATTCAGCAAAAAATATTTTATATAGAAAATTGAATTGTCTAACATTTTTGTACACTAAGTCACTGGTGATCCACTCGATTACGCTGGTTACCGAAACGGTTCGTTTTGGTAACAAAATGTCGGAACGTCGAAGGTACGATTTTTCTCTTTTCCTTATTATACACGTTGAAGACAGAATTCCCACATGACATTTTTTAACACAAACGTATATCAGTATCATATGTTTAAGAAAATCTACATATGTGCGAACAAATAGTTCAAGAAACAACAGAATCGTCGATTTAATTCTTCACTTAAGTTACATAAACGGTTTTTCGAAAAACAGTTAAGATCTGCACTTTTAACCAAAACCGTTTATGTAACTTAAGTGAGGAATTAAATCGAGGAATTAAATCGATTCTGTTGTCTTCTTAGCTATTTTTCGCAAACATGAACATTTTCTAAAACATATGATACTGATATACGTTTGTGAGAAAAAACGTCGTGGAGATTCTGCCTACAACGCGTGAAATAAGGAAAAAAGAAAAATCGTACCTTCGACGTTCCGACATTTTGTTACCAAAACGAACCGTTTTGGTAACCAGCGTAATCGAGTGGATCACCAGTGTAAGTGTTTAGTTTACTTGATGAATACTAAAGTTACAGAGCTTCAAAGTCATTTTTGAAAATCATTTTTCGCCTCCTGTGTTATTTCAATGAGAGAGGTTTTTTGAAAAACAATTTTGACTTTAAAGACCTATAACTTTGTTTAACCTGAAGAAACTTATCAATTTTTTGTTAAATAAAGTTAGCAAATTCAATTTCCTACAAAACTTGTATTTTTGCAAGGACTCGGATGGATGGGTATTCTGTCATATGACTTGCGACAAACCTAGAAAATTCAACAACATTTGAAGTTTTATTTTTCAAGAAAAGGTTTACCATTGAATTGCTGAATGGATAGTCGCACGGTATGGCAAAATATGTTAAGACGTTTTTCTGAACCGATACGCTTCTAACATATAAGATCTATTAAAAAGGCGCAAGGCCACTAAAGTGCACAAGTAAATGTTTTTGACTTGACATTGACTTGTGCACTTTGGTGGCCTTGCGCCTTTTTTAATAGATCTCATATCTCATATCTAGAAGCGTATTGGCAAAAAAAAATCGTAGAAGACCTAACATATTTTACCATACCGTGCGCCAATTCATTCAGGAATTCAGTTGTGAACGTTTTCTTGAAAAAATAAATCTTCAAGATTTTTTGAATTTTCCATCAGAAATTGATTGCTCCCCCCGCCTACCTCCGTCCCATTTTCACAATCACCGGGCGTCTTAATTATTGATTTGGGCTGTTGCCATGTGGGGGCTGCTGTGACCCTTGGAGACCAATTCAAACGGGTAGATTGCTTGTCTCATTAAAAACAAGACTTAAACGATATTTCAAAGCTATATAGAAACTACTCCGTCTATTGTGTCAACGATGTATTATTGCATCGTTTCACTGTCCACACAAATGAATTGAATGCGCTAAAAATTACATTTGATGGACTAAAAAATGTTTGAACGGGTATAAAGTAATAATTTCAAATGTAAGTTTATACTAGTATGATAATAAAATTACACATATACCATGGGCTGTATTATTGATATAAAACAGTAATGATGTGAGATTAACAGTCTTAAAGGCAGCGAAAATATACTGAATTTTCGAAAAAAAACTAACATGGTTTTGCACATTTAACTTATAAGAGCTCAACAAATAGTGGGTTTATGCATTAATTTTCTGTTCTTACTACAGCTACAGCTGATGCTTCCGATACTACAGTAACTGTTGCTACAACTTCAGTGGCTGACACAACTACAGCTGATTCTACAACAGTTTATGATGCAACAACAGTTGATGTTACAACAACAGTAACTGACACAACTACAATGGCTGACACAACTACGGCAGAAAATACAGCAGCTGATGCTACAACTACAGTGGCTGACACAACTGCAGCTGATGTTACAACAACAGTTGCTGATGCAACAACGGCTGATGTTACAACAGCAGTTGCTGACACAACTACAGTGGCTGACGCAACTACGGCAGATACTACAGCAGCTGATGCTACAAGTACAGTGGCTGACACAACTACAGCTGATGCTACAACAACAGTTGCTGATGCAACAACGGCTGATGTTACAACAACAGTAGCTGACACAACTACAGTGGCTGACGCAACTACGGTAGATACTACAGCAGCTGATGCTACAACTACAGTGGCTGACACAACTGCAGCTGATGCTACAACAACAGTTGCTGATGCAACAACGGCTGATGTTACAACAGCAGTTGCTGACACAACTACAGTGGCTGATGCAACTACGGCAGATACTACAGCAGCTGATGCTACAATTACAGTGGCTGACACAACTACAGCTGATGTTACAACAACAGTTGCTGATGCAACAACGGCTGATGTTACAACAACAGTAGCTGACACAACTACAGTGGCTGACGCAACTACGGCAGATACTACAGCAGCTGATGCTACAACTACAGTGGCTGACAAAACTGCAGCTGATGCTACAACAACAGTTGCTGATGCAACAACGGCTGATGTTACAACAGCAGTTGCTGACACAACTACAGTGGCTGACGCAACTACGGCAGATTCTACAGCAGCTGATGCTACAAGTACAGTGGCTGACACAACTACAGCTGATGAGACAACAACAACTGCTGATGCAACAACGGCTGATGTTACAACAACAGCAGCTGACACAACTACAGTGGCTGACGCAACTACGGCAGATACTACAGCAGCTGATGCTACAACTACAGTGGCTGACACAACTGCAGCTGATGCTACAACAACAGTTGCTGATGCAACAACGGCTGATGTTACAACAGCAGTTGCTGACACAACTACAGTGGCTGACGCAACTACGGCAGATACTACAGCAGCTGATGCTACAAGTACAGTGGCTGACACAACTACAGCTGATGCTACAACAACAGGTGCTGATGCAACAACGGCTGATGTTACAACAACAGTAGCTGACACAACTACAGTGGCTGACGCAACTACGGCAGATACTACAGCAGCTGATGCTACAACTACAGTGGCTGACATAACTACAGCTGATGCTACAACAACAGTTGCTGATGCAACAACGGCTGATGTTACAACAGCAGTTGCTGACACAACTACAGTGGCTGACGCAACTACGGCAGATACTACAGCAGCTGATGCTACAAGTACAGTGGCTGACACAGCTATAGCTGATGCTACAACAACAGTTGCTGATGCAACAACGGCTGATGTTACAACAACAGTAGCTGACACAACTACAGTGGCTGACGCAACTACGGCAGATACTACAGCAGCTGATGATACAACTACAGTGGCTGACACAACTGCAGCTGATGCTACAACAACAGTTGCTGATGCAACAACGGCTGATGTTACAACAGCAGTTGCTGACACAACTACAGTGGCTGACGCAACTACGGCAGATACTACAGCAGCTGATGCTACAACTACAGTGGCTGACACAACTGCAGCTGATGCTACAACAACAGTTGCTGATGCAACAACGGCTGATGTTACAACAGCAGTTGCTGACACAACTACAGTGGCTGACGCAACTAGGGCAGATTCTACAGCAGCTGATGCTACAAGTACAGTGGCTGACACAACTACAGCTGATGCTACAACAACAGTTGCTGATGCAACAACGGCTGATGTTACAACAACAGTAGCTGACACAACTACAGTGGCTGACGCAACTACGGCAGATACTACAGCAGCTGATGCTACAACTACAGTGGCTGACACAACTGCAGCTGATGCTACAACAACAGTTGCTGATGCAACAACGGCTGATGTTACAACAGCAGTTGTTGACACAACTACAGTGGCTGACACAACTACGGCAGATACTACAGCAGCTGATGCTACAACTACAGTGGCTGACATAACTACAGCTGATGCTACAACAACAGTTGCTGATTCAACAACGGCTGATGTTACAACAGCAGTTGCTGACACAACTACAGTGGCTTACGCAACTACGGCAGATAGTACAGCAGCTGATGCTACAAGTACAGTGGCTGACACAACTACAGCTGATGCTACAACAACAGTTGCTGATGCAACAACGGCTGATGTTACAACAACAGTAGCTGACACAACTACAGTGGCTGACGCAACTACGGCAGATACTACAGCAGCTGATGCTACAACTACAGTGGCTGACACAACTACAGCTGATGCTACAACAACAGTTGCTGATGCAACAACGGCTGATGTTACAACAACAGTAGCTGACACAACTACAGTAGCTGACGCAACTACGGCAGATACTACAGCAGCTGATGCTACAACTACAGTGGCTGACACAACTGCAGCTGATGCTACAACAACAGTTGCTGATGCAACAACGGCTGATGTTACAACAGCAGTTGCTGACACAACTACAGTGGCTGACACAACTACGGCAGATTCTACAGCAGCTGATGCTACAAGTACAGTGGCTGACACAACTACAGCTGATGCTACAACAACAGTTGCTGATGCAACAACGGCTGATGTTACAACAACAGTAGCTGACACAACTACAGTGGCTGACGCAACTACGGCAGATACTACAGCAGCTGATGCTACAACTACAGTGGCTGACACAACTGCAGCTGATGCTACAACAACAGTTGCTGATGCAACAACGGCTGATGTTACAACAGCAGTTGCTGACACAACTACAGTGGCTGACGCAACTACGGCAGATACTACAGCAGCTGATGCTACAAGTACAGTGGCTGACACAACTACAGCTGATGCTACAACAACAGTTGCTGATGCAACAACGGCTGATGTTACAACAACAGTAGCTGACACAACTACAGTGGCTGACGCAACTACGGCAGATACTACAGCAGCTGATGCTACAACTACAGTGGCTGACATAACTGCAGCTGATGCTACAACAACAGTTGCTGATGCAACAACGGCTGATGTTACAACAGCAGTTGCTGACACAACTACAGTGGCTGACGCAACTACGGCAGATACTACAGCAGCTGATGCTACAAGTACAGTGGCTGACACAACTACAGCTGATGCTACAACAACAGTTGCTGATGCAACAACGGCTGATGCTACAACAACAGTAGCTGACACAACTACAGTGGCTGACGCAACTACGGCAGATAATACAGCAGCTGATGCTACAACTACAAGGGCTGACACAACTGCAGCTGATGCTACAACAACAGTTGCTGATGCAACAACGGCTGATGTTACAACAACAGTAGCTGACACAACTACAGTGGCTGACACAACTACAGCTGATGCTACAACAACAGTTGCTGATGCAACAACGGCTGATGTTACAACAACAGTAGCTGACACAACTACAGTGGCTGACGCAACTACGGCAGATACTACAGCAGCTGATGCTACAACTACAGTGGCTGCCACAACTGCAGCTGATGTTACAACAACAGTTGCTGATGCAACAACGGCTGATGTTACAAAAGCAGTTGCTGACACAACTACAGTGGCTGACGCAACTACGGCAGATTCTACAGCAGCTGATGCTATTAGTACAGTGGCTGACACAACTACAGCTGATGCTACAACAACAGTTGCTGATGCAACAACGGCTGATATTACAACAATAGTAGCTGACACAACTACAGTGGCTGACGCAACTACGGTAGATACTACAGCAGCTGATGCTACAACTACAGTGGCTGACACAACTGCAGCTGATGCTACAACAACAGTTGCTGATGCAACAACGGCTGATGTTACAACAGCAGTTGCTGACACAACTACAGTGGCTGACGCAACTACGGCAGATACTACAGCAGCTGATGCTACAATTACAGTGGCTGACACAACTACAGCTGATGCTACAACAACAGTTGCTGATGCAACAACGGCTGATGTTACAACAACAGTAGCTGACACAACTACATTGACTGACGCAACTAGAGCAGATACTACAGCAGCTGATGCTACAGCTACAGTGGCTGACACAACTGCAGCTGATGCTACAACAACAGTTGCTGATGCAACAACGGCTGATGTTACAACAGCAGTTGCTGACACAACTACAGTGGCTGACGCAACTACGGCAGATACTACAGCAGCTGATGCTACAAGTACAGTGGCTGACTCAACTACAGCTGATGCTACAACAACAGTTGCTGATGCAACAACGGCTGATGTTACAACAGCAGTTGCTGACACAACTACAGTGGCTGACGCAACTACGGCAGATACTACAGCAGCTGCTGCTACAAGTACAGTGGCTGACACAACGACAGCTGATCCTACAACAACAGTTGCTGATGCAACAACGGCTGATGTTACAACAACAGTAGCTGACACAACTACAGTGGCTGACGCAACTACGGCAGATACTACAGCAGCTGATGCTACAACTACAGTGGCTGACACAACTGCAGCTGATGCTACAACAACAGTTGCTGATGCAACAACGGCTGATGTTACAACAGCAGTTGCTGACACAACTAGAGTGGCTGACGCAACTACGGCAGATTCTACAGCAGCTGATGCTACAACTACAGTGGCTGACACAACTGCAGCTGATGCTACAACAACAGTTGCTGATGTAACAACGGCTGGTGTTACAACAGCAGTTGCTGACACAACTACAGTGGCTGACGCAACTACGGCAGATACTACAGCAGCTGATGCTACAAGTACAGTGGCTGACACAACTACAGCTGATGCTACAACAACAGTTGCTGATGCAACAACGGCTGATGTTACAACAACAGTAGCTGACACAACTACAGTGGCTGACGCAACTACGACAGATACTACAGCAGCTGATGCTACAACTACAGTGGCTGACACAACTGCAGCTGATGCTACAACAACAGTTGCTGATGCAACAACGGCTGATGTTACAACAGCAGTTGCTGACACAACTACAGTGGCTGACGCAACTACGGCAGATTCTACAGCAGCTGATGCTACAAGTACAGTGGCTGACACAACTACAGCTGATGCTACAACAACAGTTGCTGATGCAACAACGGCTGGTGTTACAACAACAGTAGCTGACACAACTACAGTGGCTGACGCAACTACGGCAGATACTACAGCAGCTGATGCTACAACTACAGTGATTGACACAACTGCAGCTGATGCTACAACAACAGTTGCTGATGCAACAACGGCTGATGTTACAACAGCAGTTGCTGACACAACTACAGTGGCTGAAGCAACTACGGCAGATACTACAGCAGCTGATGCTACAACTACAGTGGCTGACACAACTGCAGCTGATGCTACAACAACAGTTGCTGATGCAACAACGGCTGATGTTACAACAGCAGTTGCTGACACAACTACAGTGGCTGACGCAACTACGGCAGATTCTACAGCAGCTGATGCTACAACTACAGTGGCTGACACAACTGCAGCTGATGCTACAACAACAGTTGCTGATGCAACAACGGCTGATGTTACAACAGCAGTTGCTGACACAACTACAGTGGCTGACGCAACTACGGCAGATTCTACAGCAGCTGATGTTACAAGTACAGTGGCTGACACAACTACAGCTGATGCTACAACAACAGTTGCTGATGCAACAACGGCTGATGTTACAACAACAGTAGCTGACACAACTACAGTGGCTGACGCAACTACGGCAGATACTACAGCAGCTGATGCTACAACTACAGTGGCTGACACAACTGCAGCTGATGCTACAACAACAGTTGCTGATGCAACAACGGCTGATGTTACAACAGCAGTTGCTGACACAACTACAGTGGCTGACGCAACTACAGCAGATTCTACAGCAGCTGATGCTACAAGTACAGTGGCTGACACAACTACAGCTGATGCTACAACAACAGTTGCTGATGCAACAACGGCTGATGTTACAACAACAGTAGCTGACACAACTACAGTGGCTGACGCAACTACGGCAGATACTACAGCAGCTGATGCTACAACTACAGTGGCTGACACAACTGCAGCTGATGCTACAACAACAGTTGCTGATGCAACAACGGCTGATGTTACAACAGCAGTTGCTGACACAACTACAGTGGCTGACGCAACTACGGCAGATACTACAGCAGCTGATGCTACAAGTACAGTGGCTGACTCAACTACAGCTGATGCTACAACAACAGTTGCTGATGCAACAACGGCTGATGTTACAACAACAGTAGCTGACACAACTACAGTGGCTGACGCAACTACGGCAGATTCTACAGCAGCTGATGCTACAACTACAGTGGCTGACACAACTGCAGCTGATGCTACAACAACAGTTGCTGATGCAACAACGGCTGGTGTTACAACAGCAGTTGCTGACACAACTACAGTGGCTGACGCAACTACGGAAGATACTACAGCAGCTGATGCTACAAGTACAGTGGCTGACACAACTACAGCTGATGCTACAACAACAGTTGCTGATGCAACAACGGCTGATGTTACAACAACAGTAGCTGACACAACTACAGTGGCTGACGCAACTACGGCAGATACTACAGCAGCTGATGCTACAACTACAGTGGCTGACACAACTGCAGCTGATGCTACAACAACAGTTGCTGATGCAACAACGGCTGATGTTACAACAGCAGTTGCTGACACAACTACAGTGGCTGACGCAATTACGGCAGATTCTACAGCAGCTGATGCTACAAGTACAGTGGCTGACACAACTACAGCTGATGCTACAACAACAGTTGCTGATGCAACAACGGCTGATGTTACAACAACAGTAGCTGACACAACTACAGTGGCTGACGCAACTACGGCAGATACTACAGCAGCTGATGCTACAACTACAGTGGCTGACACAACTGCAGCTGATGCTACAACAACAGTTGCTGATGCAACAACGGCTGATGTTACAACAGCAGTTGCTGACACAACTACAGTGGCTGACGCAACTACGGCAGATTCTACAGCAGCTGATGCTACAAGTACAGTGGCTGACACAACTACAGCTGATGCTACAACAACAGTTGCTGATGCAACAACGGCTGATGTTACAACAACAGTAGCTGACACAACTACAGTGGCTGACGCAACTACGGCAGATACTACAGCAGCTGATGCTACAACTACAGTGGCTGACACAACTGCAGCTGATGCTACAACAACAGTTGCTGATGCAACAACGGCTGATGTTACAACAGCAGTTGCTGACACAACTACAGTGGCTGACGCAACTACGGCAGATACTACAGCAGCTGATGCTACAAGTACAGTGGCTGACTCAACTACAGCTGATGCTACAACAACAGTTGCTGATGCAACAACGGCTGATGTTACAACAACAGTAGCTGACACAACTACAGTGGCTGACGCAACTACGGCAGATTCTACAGCAGCTGATGCTACAACTACAGTGGCTGACACAACTGCAGCTGATGCTTCAACAACAGTTGCTGATGCAACAACGGCTGGTGTTACAACAGCAGTTGCTGACACAACTACAGTGGCTGACGCAACTACGGCAGATACTACAGCAGCTGATGCTACAAGTACAGTGGCTGACACAACTACAGCTGATGCTACAACAACAGTTGCTGATGCAACAACGGCTGATGTTACAACAACAGTAGCTGACACAACTACAGTGGCTGACGCAACTACGGCAGATACTACAGCAGCTGATGCTACAACTACAGTGGCTGACACAACTGCAGCTGATGCTACAACAACAGTTGCTGTTTCAACAACGGCTGATGTTACAACAGCAGTTGCTGACACAACAACGGCTGATGTTACAACAACAGTAGCTGACACAACTACAGTGGCTGACACAACTGCAGCTGATGCTACAGCAACAGTTGCTGATGCAACAACGGCTGATGTTACAACAGCAGTTGCTGACACAACTACAGTGGCTGACGCAACTACGGCAGATACTACAGCAGCTGATGCTACAAGTACAGTGGCTGACACAACTACAGCTGATGCTACAACAACAGTTGCTGATGCAACAACGGCTGATGCTACAACAACAGTAGCTGACACAACTACAGCAGCTGATGCTACAACTACAGTGGCTGACACAACTGCAGCTGATACTACAACAACAGTTGCTGATGCAACAACGGCTGATGTTACAACAGCAGTTGCTGACACAACTACAGTGGCTGACGCAACTACGGCAGATTCTACAGCAGCTGATGCTACAAGTACAGTGGCTGACACAACTATAGCTGATGCTACAACAACAGTTGCTGATGCAACAACGGCTGATGTTACAACAACAGTAGCTGACACAACTACAGTGGCTGACGCAACTACGGCAGATACTACAGCAGCTGATGCTACAACTACAGTGGCTGACACAACTGCAGCTGATGCTACAACAACAGTTGCTGATGCAACAACGGCTGATGTTACAACAGCAGTTGCTGACACAACTACAGTGGCTGACGCAACTACGGCAGATACTACAGCAGCTGATGCTACAAGTACAGTGGCTGACTCAACTACAGCTGATGCTACAACAACAGTTGCTGATGCAACAACGGCTGATGTTACAACAACAGTAGCTGACACAACTACAGTGGCTGACGCAACTACGGCAGATTCTACAGCAGCTGATGCTACAACTACAGTGGCTGACACAACTGCAGCTGATGCTACAACAACAGTTGCTGATGCAACAACGGCTGGTGTTACAACAGCAGTTGCTGACACAACTACTGTGGCTGACGCAACTACGGCAGATACTACAGCAGCTGATGCTACAAGTACAGTGGCTGACACAACTACAGCTGATGCTACAACAACAGTTGCTGATGCAACAACGGCTGATGTTACAACAACAGTAGCTGACACAACTACAGTGGCTGACGCAACTACGGCAGATACTACAGCAGCTGATGCTACAACTACAGTGGCTGACACAACTGCAGCTGATGCTACAACAACAGTTGCTGATGCAACAACGGCTGATGTTACAACAGCAGTTGCTGACACAACTACAGTGGCTGACGCAATTACGGCAGATTCTACAGCAGCTGATGCTACAAGTACAGTGGCTGACACAACTACAGCTGATGCTACAACAACAGTTGCTGATGCAACAGCGGCTGATGTTACAACAACAGTAGCTGACACAACTACAGTGGCTGACGCAACTACGGCAGATACTACAGCAGCTGATGCTACAACTACAGTGGCTGACACAACTGCAGCTGATGCTACAACAACAGTTGCTGATGCAACAACGGCTGATGTTACAACAGCAGTTGCTGACACAACTACAGTGGCTGACGCAACTACGGCAGATTCTACAGCAGCTGATGCTACAAGTACAGTGGCTGACACAACTACAGCTGATGCTACAACAACAGTTGCTGATGCAACAACGGCTGATGTTACAACAACAGTAGCTGACACAACTACAGTGGCTGACGCAACTACGGCAGATACTACAGCAGCTGATGCTACAACTACAGTGGCTGACACAACTGCAGCTGATGCTACAACAACAGTTGCTGATGCAACAACGGCTGATGTTACAACAGCAGTTGCTGACACAACTACAGTGGCTGACGCAACTACGGCAGATACTACAGCAGCTGATGCTACAAGTACAGTGGCTGACACAACTACAGCTGATGCTACAACAACAGTTACTGATGCAACAACGGCTGATGTTACAACAACAGTAGCTGACACAACTACAGTGGCTGACGCAACTACGGCAGATACTATAGCAGCTGATGCTACAACTACAGTGGCTGACACAACTGCAGCTGATGCTACAACAACAGTTGCTGTTTCAACAACGGCTGATGTTACAACAGCAGTTGCTGACACAACTACAGTGGCTGACGCAACTACGGCAGATTCTACAGCAGCTGATGCTACAAGTACAGTGGCTGACACAACTACAGCTGATGCTACAACAACAGTTGCTGATGCAACAACGGCTGATGTTACAACAACAGTAGCTGACACAACTACAGTGGCTGACGCAACTACGGCAGATACTACAGCAGCTGATGCTACAACTACAGTGGCTGACACAACTGCAGCTGATGCTACAACAACAGTTGCTGATGCAACAACGGCTGATGTTACAACAGCAGTTGCTGACACAACTACAGTGGCTGACGCAACTACGGCAGATTCTACAGCAGCTGATGCTACAAGTACAGTGGCTGACACAACTACAGCTGATGCTACAACAACAGTTGCTGATGCAACAACGGCTGATGTTACAACAACAGTAGCTGACACAACTACAGTGGCTGACGCAACTACGGCAGATACTACAGCAGCTGATGCTACATCTACAGTGGCTGACACAACTGCAGCTGATGCTACAACAACAGTTGCTGATGCAACAACGACTGATGTTACAACAGCAGTTGCTGACACAACTACAGTGGCTGACGCAACTACGGCAGATTCTACAGCAGCTGATGCTACAAGTACAGTGGCTGACACAACTACAGCTGATGCTACAACAACAGTTGCTGATGCAACAACGGCTGATGTTACAACAACAGTAGCTGACACAACTACAGTGGCTGACGCAACTACGGCAGATACTACAGCAGCTGATGCTACAACTACAGTGGCTGACACAACTGCAGCTGATGCTACAACAACAGTTGCTGATGCAACAATGGCTGATGTTACAACAGCAGTTGCTGACACAACTACAGTGGCTGACGCAACTACGGCAGATTCTACAGCAGCTGATGCTACAAGTACAGTGGCTGACACAACTACAGCTGATGCTACAACAACAGTTGCTGATGCAACAACGGCTGATGTTACAACAACAGTAGCTGACACAACTACAGTGGCTGACGCAACTACGGCAGATACTACAGCAGCTGATGCTACAACTACAGTGGCTGACACAACTGCAGCTGATGCTACAACAACAGTTGCTGATGCAACAACGGCTGATGTTACAACAGCAGTTGCTGACACAACTACAGTGGCTGACGCAACTACGGCAGATTCTACAGCAGCTGATGCTACAAGTACAGTGGCTGACACAACTACAGCTGATGCTACAACAACAGTTGCTGATGCAACAACGGCTGATGTTACAACAACAGTAGCTGACACAACTACAGTGGCTGACGCAACTACGGCAGATACTACAGCAGCTGATGCTACAACTACAGTGGCTGACACAACTGCAGCTGATGCTACAACAACAGTTGCTGATGCAACAACGGCTGATGTTACAACAGCAGTTGCTGACACAACTACAGTGGCTGACGCAACTACGGCAGATTCTACAGCAGCTGATGCTACAAGTACAGTGGCTGACACAACTACAGCTGATGCTACAACAACAGTTGCTGATGCAACAACGGCTGATGTTACAACAACAGTAGCTGACACAACTACAGTGGCTGACGCAACTACGGCAGATACTACAGCAGCTGATGCTACAACTACAGTGGCTGACACAACTGCAGCTGATGCTACAACAACAGTTGCTGATGCAACAACGGCTGATGTTACAACAGCAGTTGCTGACACAACTACAGTGGCTGACGCAACTACGGCAGATTCTACAGCAGCTGATGCTACAAGTACAGTGGCTGACACAACTACAGCTGATGCTACAACAACAGTTGCTGATGCAACAACGGCTGATGTTACAACAACAGTAGCTGACACAACTACAGTGGCTGACGCAACTACGGCAGATACTACAGCAGCTGATGCTACAACTACAGTGGCTGACACAACTGCAGCTGATGCTACAACAACAGTTGCTGATGCAACAACGGCTGATGTTACAACAGCAGTTGCTGACACAACTACAGTGGCTGACGCAACTACGGCAGATACTACAGCAGCTGATGCTACAAGTACAGTGGCTGACACAACTACAGCTGATGCTACAACAACAGTTGCTGATGCAACAACGGCTGATGTTACAACAACAGTAGCTGACAAAACTACAGCAGCTGATGCTACATCTACAGTGGCTGACACAACTGCAGCTGATGCTACAACAACAGTTGCTGATGCAACAACGGCTGATGTTACAACAGCAGTTGCTGACACAACTACAGTGGCTGACGCAACTACGGCAGATTCTACAGCAGCTGATGCTACAAGTACAGTGGCTGACACAACTACAGCTGATGCTACAACAACAGTTGCTGATGCAACAACGGCTGATGTTACAACAACAGTAGCTGACACAACTACAGTGGCTGACGCAACTACGGCAGATACTACAGCAGCTGATGCTACAACTACAGTGGCTGACACAACTGCAGCTGATGCTACAACAACAGTTGCTGATGCAACAACGGCTGATGTTACAACAGCAGTTGCTGACACAACTACAGTGGCTGACGCAACTACGGCAGATACTACAGCAGCTGATGCTACAAGTACAGTGGCTGACTCAACTACAGCTGATGCTACAACAACAGTTGCTGATGCAACAACGGCTGATGTTACAACAGCAGTTGCTGACACAACTACAGTGGCTGACGCAACTACGGCAGATACTACAGCAGCTGATGCTACAAGTACAGTGGCTGACACAACTACAGCTGATGCTACAACAACAGTTGCTGATGCAACAACGGCTGATGTTACAACAACAGTAGCTGACACAACTACACTGGCTGACGCAACTACGCCAGATACTACAGCAGCTGATGCTACAACTACAGTGGCTGACACAACTGCAGCTGATGCTACAACAACAGTTGCTGATGCAACAACGGCTGATGTTACAACAGCAGTTGCTGACACAACTACAGTGGCTGACGCAACTACGGCAGATTCTACAGCAGCTGATGCTACAAGTACAGTGGCTGACACAACTACAGCTGATGCTACAACAACAGTTGCTGATGCAACAACGGCTGATGTTACAACAACAGTAGCTGACACAACTACAGTGGCTGACGCAACTACGGCAGATACTACAGCAGCTGATGCTACAACTACAGTGGCTGACACAACTGCAGCTGATGCTACAACAACAGTTGCTGATGCAACAACGGCTGATGTTACAACAGCAGTTGCTGACACAACTACAGTGGCTGACGCAACTACGGCAGATTCTACAGCAGCTGATGCTACAAGTACAGTGGCTGACACAACTACAGCTGATGCTACAACAACAGTTGCTGATGCAACAACGGCTGATGTTACAACAACAGTAGCTGACACAACTACAGTGGCTGACGCAACTACGGCAGATACTACAGCAGCTGATGCTACAACTACAGTGGCTGACACAACTGCAGCTGATGCTACAACAACAGTTGCTGATGCAACAACGGCTGATGTTACAACAGCAGTTGCTGACACAACTACAGTGGCTGACGCAACTACGGCAGATACTACAGCAGCTGATGCTACAAGTACAGTGGCTGACACAACTACAGCTGATGCTACAACAACAGTTGCTGATGCAACAACGGCTGATGTTACAACAACAGTAGCTGACAAAACTACAGCAGCTGATGCTACATCTACAGTGGCTGACACAACTGCAGCTGATGCTACAACAACAGTTGCTGATGCAACAACGGCTGATGTTACAACAGCAGTTGCTGACACAACTACAGTGGCTGACGCAACTACGGCAGATTCTACAGCAGCTGATGCTACAAGTACAGTGGCTGACACAACTACAGCTGATGCTACAACAACAGTTGCTGATGCAACAACGGCTGATGTTACAACAACAGTAGCTGACACAACTACAGTGGCTGACGCAACTACGGCAGATACTACAGCAGCTGATGCTACAACTACAGTGGCTGACACAACTGCAGCTGATGCTACAACAACAGTTGCTGATGCAACAACGGCTGATGTTACAACAGCAGTTGCTGACACAACTACAGTGG